CAGTTCTGCTCAGTCCTACAGATTCACTGTGAGTCAAAAATCAATTCAATGGAACAAATGAGTCATGCCTACTTAACTAAATAACAGATTTTACCGTAAGCAATCCTATACAAATGTATCATAAGCAAAAACTAAAAATTATTCTTAACTCGAGATCACCAGGTTAAGGCTAAATTGGGGAGATCATTTAGAAAATAAAAGCTTGGCCAACAATATGTAGAAAGATGAAGAAAAGCATGAATTAAATATCTAATTGCATGGAACAGTAAAACCTCACCCTGGGGTGAAAATTGAAGGCACACAAATAAAAACCATTGAAAAGCCAAGCAGAATTGCAAATCTGGATTAGAGAACAGCCACTGCAAAAATCCATAAATTTAAGGTTCTGATGAGATAGTGGAAGACACTTAGACGATAATAGAAAGATTATTTAGAGATAGTAAGGCAGAGACTGCTACGATTTCTATGTGATATATATAACCTTATAGATCAACAATCAAGCAACAGGCTGTGAGACGAGCGGGAGGAAAACAGTGCCACCCCCAGCAGGAGTGTATCTGTAAGGGCATAAAGGGCAGTAAGTAAATGATGCTCTACGAATTAAAGTCATGTTCCAAGAAGAACTAACTGCTATTGCCAGATGCACAGAAGCACCTTCTATTAGCATTCCATAAAAATGTGAACTAGAGAAAGACAGTACTTGTAATGACTTCAGACAGCTGTGGCACATGAAGAGAACTGCTTAATGACCAAGTAGGATCAGGTATATCTTTCCCTAACAAGTAACACTTCTTTTTCCCGAAACTAGAATTCATAGTTCTCTAACTTCAGGTTTTGAAATCTCACACATAAGAGGGTTCCTGTTGCAAAGGGGTAGTCTTCATGCTATCATCAAACTACAGCTGACGACACACCTGCGGCCATCTCACACGCACTTCCTACCAGGTGACCAATTGTAACTTGCACCGTGATGTGAAGACATAAATGATCTCATATCTTTATTTCAAATAAGGGGGTTAGATTTCAAGTTATTCTGAACGAATTAGCTCACCCAAGGTTGCATTGCTCTCGCAATATTTGCCGCTAACCTGTGGCAGGTACCTCCCTAGCTGGGCAGGGCATTGAACAAATGAATGTGTAATCAAATCAGACAAAAAAGAATTGTACGTAGTGAAGATGTATGTGACCCACAATCAGTTGTAACCTCCAATGCTCAAAAATGCAAGGAGTTCTGGGAGCAGGATGGACAGTGGAGCAGACTGCTCAAGGTTGTGGCTGTGATTGGGAAAAATGTGTTGTAAAATCCAAGGGATAGTCATTAAAAATACCAAGATCAATGGCAAACTACATTATCAAGAAATTGTCATGAAATTGAATTAAGTAATACGTACTTTGAAGAGAATCTTAGAACATAAATTGAGTCAGGCAGACTAGGCAAATAAATAAACAGCTGCATATGAACATAAGACTCTCCTGTGTAACCAGAAATTGATATATAAGCTACACTATCTATGAATTACCAAGTGAAGATGGTACAGCCTTGGTTACTGAACATGTAACATTCATGGAATGATGGGCAGTGCTAAGCACACTGGCCAATCAACCATCCAGCCCGCCCTTCTTGGTCTTGTAACATCCTTCTTCCATTATGAAATGAGTATAGAGTGTAGGACAACCTTTTTTTTTTTTTTTTTGGTTGAAATATTTCTTTCTTTTTTTTAAAAAAAATAATCATTTTATTAGGGGCTCATACAACTCATCACAATCTGTACATACGTCATCTGTGTCCAGCACTTTAGTACATATGTTGACTTCATCATTCTTACGACACCCACTTTCCACTTGAGCCCCTGTTGTCAGCTCATTTTTCCCCCTCCCTCCCCCTCCCCCGATAATTTATAATTTATTATTATTTTGTCATATCTTACCCTATTTTCCACGTCTCCCTCACCCACTTCTCTGCTGTCCGTTCCCCAGGGAGGAGGCCATATGTAGACCTTGTCTGTCCTCTGTTCCCCCTTTCTCCCTCTCCTTCCCTCCACCCTCCCGCCATCGCCACTCTCTCCACTGGTCCTGGGGGGTTCATCGGTCCTGGGTTCACTGTATTTCCAGTTCCTATCTGTGCCAGTGCACCTCCTCTATTCCAGCCGGATATGTAAGGTAGAATTTGGATCATGGTAGTGGGGTGGAGGAAGCATTTAAGAATCAGAGGAAAATTGCATATTTCATCGTCACTACACTGCATTCTGATTTGCTCCTCACCTCCCCACAACCCTTCTGCAAGGGGATGTCCAATTTCCCACAGATGGGCCCTGGGTCCCCACTCCTTGTCATCTTACAGGCTGGTGTGCTTCTTCCATGTGGGCTTTGTTGTTTCTCAGTTAGATGGCCCCTTGTTTATCTTCCAGCATGTGGGACCCCAGATTCTGTGTAAGTTGACAGCACCTTTACACAGAATATTGCATCTATTCTGTATATGAAGGCAAAGAACCAGCATCTAGTAGAGTACCTAGTACTAATGAAAGCCTTCCAAAATAAAGTCAGAAGCCCAAAACTCAAGTGATTGCTTCAATTATTTAACCACTATAAAAGAAGAAACTAAGTCCTCAGATGAATTTTCAAAGTTTTTTGAATGTATAGAATCGAGAGGAACACGAAGCATTGCGTTATCTATTGCGGTATATCATGAACATAATACATTGAACTTAGGTATAGCTCTAATGCATTTCTTGGATAAGGAACTATATAAAAGGAGAAACCTCTAACAATTTTGTGCAGACATGGAGCTCTGATGAATGTGCTATCTAGTAGTTGAAAATATTGAGGTTTTCATTAAAGTTCATGAATGCAAAGATTATGTGAAGCACTGTTATCCTGAGTCATCAAGATATTAATAGGAAAATTATTTTTTAAGTGCTGGATGCAGTGACTAGACCGCTTATTTTAATAATTAGGTGGTTTATTGATATTCATTGATCATTATCTATTTAAACTCTGTATTAAATCTTTTAAAGCTTTAAAGTGGTAGTGCAGTGTGCATGTTCATAAACATCATGCTCCATATAGTTTTTTCTCAAAATGTAGGCATTGTTGGCACTCTTTTGCCTTCAAATGGAAGAAATGACTTAAAGTCTATTAATGATTACAAAGATCGCACAATTCTTTCCACGTTCTAAGATTTCTGGAAAGACAGGCTCTATGAAAACCTACAAGAAAGTCTATATCAAAAAGTAACCTATAAAAACACTGCCACTGGGCTTGAAGAATTTATATCCCACCCATAGCAATTGGATTGGACATGTGTTTGTACTATTGGCTTTGAAGCAATCTAAAAGCTAACATCTTACTTAATAGCAAGGCGACAATCTTGCACTTAATTCATTTTTATTGTGATACCTGGTTTCTCATTTGTGTCACCTCATTTGAGGCCTCAGAGTAGTCAAAATAGTAGTTAGCTAAAGAAGCTATTACCCATGTGCTAACAATAAAATAATTCAGTGTTTACGGGATGAAGTAAGCCAAGGTCAGATGCAATAATTGAGTGGGCTCCGAGCTCATGAAACAACACATGGCAAGTGCCTAGTACAGTGCCTGACCTTCTGTCTGAAATGGCTGAAAGACACCTCCTTTTCTTTTCCCAGCCAGTCCAGTGTTCTTTTCCACTTCAAGACATCGCCCAGTCCAGCAGCAATAGATTTAAATAATACACAACATAGCATGGATAAAACTTGAATGATAACAAAATGAAGAAAACATTCTCTTTGGGGTCATGTCTACTACAAACAGCGATTCAAACATTTTCAAAGGTCAGAATTACCTTGATTGTTGAATTGGACTGGTCTGTCACAGAAACCTAGCAACCTAGAAATAAGTGGCAGTTGCTATTTCCAGTAGAATGTTTTTTGCAGATATGATCATACGAAGGGCTATGTCTCTATTAGCCATAAAAATGTTAAGGAGGTAAAATTGATCAAGAAATTGAAAGGCTTCTCATTTTGAACCATTTGGAGGAGGGGAACCCCACCAAACTAAACTTGTTGCAAATCTTATTAATTAAACCTGGAATTCATTAACATTTTATTTCGATGCTTCAATCTTTACATATTTATCATTAATTTAAGGACACATATGAATAAAACATGAAAATCAAGTGTATTTGCTTGTTCTGCAATCATATGTTCTATCCCATACAATACCTCATCTGTCCTCGTGGCTAATACTGTAATACACATCATATATACTCAAGTATCAGCCTAACCGAGTATCAGCCGAGGCACCTAATTTTACCACAAAAACTGCATTAAAAATGTGCTGAAAAACTCAATTTATATACAAGCATATACGATAATATTCAGGTTTTATGACCTAGGCAGTCCAACTTTCCTTGCAAAACGTATTCAAAAATCTAAAATCGGTCATTTAGCTAGTTGTCCAGGAGGAATGTTATGTGAGCCTCGATTTGTAGTTATCAGTTTAAGTTAAAGGTTCAAAAATTGCTTTGACTAAAAAACTTCCAAGGTCAGAAATTTCCCCCCAGATAGTAAGAGTCTCACTTTATATTCAGTCTGGTTCCATTTTCTGAAAACTGGCTGGTCCCTCCCAAGGGTAATTTTGATAGTGTGGATAACAAGCTAAAGAGCGTCTTTACAATTTGTGGGAGATCAAAATCAGTGTGTGCTAAATCTAACATGCATGTCCCAAACAAAAAAGTAACCCAAAGTAGGGTTAAAGACCCTCACTCCTATAGATATTTGTGAATTCTTATTCTTCAAGTGCCTTTGTTTGATACACTGGCTTTGGTGGAGTGAGCTTATGACTGCCTTAACTTGATAAACACAAAGGCTACATCTTATCTTAAAAAACAAACAAACAAGCGAACAAACAATACTTACCAGCTTCATAGTTTTTTGAATTCTATTCACTTCAAAGCATACCATGTTTTAAAAAGGATAGAAATCAACATATTTAAAATTAAACATGTGCATTCAGATGGGACTCACCTTCAGAGAATCAAAACAGGCTATCACACGACCATTTTCCACAGGGCAAACTCTTGGTGGATGGGCAAACTTGCAATCAGCATCAGCTCGAGAGCAAGTTCCTCTCTGAAAGTCTCTACAGACTTCTAAAGTCAGCCACTTGGTATCACGAACCAGGGTAATATTGACAGCCGTCATTTTGAAAGCAAAACTAAATCAAGTGCACCCTCTTCAGGACAATATCACTGCTGATTGTTGAAAGGGGGAAAAAAATGAAATCAAGCTAAATGCGAAGCGAGAACAGGTGGCTTTGGTGAAATGACTATTTGTTAGCACTTAGGTTTCCATTTAAGTACAATCCAATCTAGTCAAACAAATAGCCAGTAGTAAAATTTTACAAATCTTATCAGAATAATTAAAAATCAAATTAGAGACCGACTCCTCAAAAGGCAATGGTAAAGGTTACAATTTTGAGTCTTGTAGTTTGCTCCTCTGCTGAAGTTACTTCAACTAACTGGCAGGCTTTCAAAAGAATTCTGAGCTCTCTAGTTTCTGTTTTCAATTATTTTTGCGAAAAGCATATGCTGTTTACTGCCCTTTAATTCATAGAATAGTCTCAGATCATGGAGAGAAAGGCTTCCCCCTATTTCTTGGCTTTAAGGATTAGTATTGGTCAGGTTGTTGCAACTATTTAAAAAAAGAGACTGTGATGCAAAATCAGGAAAGGAGAAATGATTAAGAAAATTGAGACTCAAAATAAATAAATACCTGCACAAGTTACTGACAGTGAACTTAGAAGCACACCCAGTTTGTTTGTTTGTTTGTTTGTTGGTGGCGATGTGGAAGGGAGGGGGGTATAGAGAGAGGCAGCTCTAGAGCAGAATCCAAGCAGCAGTTTTCAGAAAAGGCACTTTTCAGAAACCTGCAAAAAAACAAAATTGTAAAATTAGCTAAAATAACACAATGCTTCTGTTTCAAGCTCTCATTTGGGAAAAAAAATAGCCAGGTCCTATTTACAACAGGAAGCATCTAGCTACTGACATGCAACATAGTACAGTCAGCTATTGTCAATAAAAAAGGGCATTTCCCAATAGAGAACTGTGTAGTCAAAGGAAGGAATCACTCAGATGTATTGTTGCAGTATAAGACTGGGCAACCACCCAAATAAAAAGAAAAGGGGGAAAACAGTTTTATTTTTGTCTGTTCGGGGCAGAAATACATTTGGGGGTTCTCTGCACACACAAAAATGCCATTGTGATCATCCCTTATTCGTTAATGTATCTGATTTTAAAAGGCTATCCAAGAATTATCTTAAAACCAGCTTTAGCAAGCACTTTGTAAGAAAGGCCTGGTGGTCTGCTTCCAAAAGATTGGTCTTGAAAACCCTATAGAGCAGCTCAGCTGCACACACGGGGTCGCCATGAGTCGGAATCTATTTGATAGGAACAGGTGGAAAACTAAGGTCTATTGAATGCTTGATTATCTTCCCCTTTGTGTAGTATCTTTGTCTTTTAAGCAAGATGTAACTAGTATGTTTGCAGTTCCTTTCTAGAAATCCATCTAACCCAGTGGTTCTCCACCTTCCTGATGCCACGAGCCTTTCATACAGTTCCTCATGTTGTGGTGACCGCCCCCCCAACCATAAAATTATTTTAGTTGCTACTTCATCACTGTAATTTTGCAACTGTTCTGAATCGGGCGACCCCTGTGAAAGGGTAGTTTGACTCCCAAAGGGGTCGCGACTCACAGATTCAGAACCACTGCCCTATGCCATGATCCGGATAAACTAGCTGGAGAAGCCTTGAACATGCCATAGCATGGAGGAAGGAAATGTAAAATGTGCTTCAAAGGAAAAAAATCCTTCAGAAAACCCAACTTTTCCCCCTCCTCTACAAAGGGAAAATGGAACAACTCAGAAGTACGTTTCAGTAAGCATGAATGGATGAGACAGGAAGTGCTGGTCAGTAGCATTTTGGAGACCATTGACTTTCAATTTAACCCAGGGTCAACCACTAACACTTTCAAGCAACTCAGTACAGAAGTGATTTGACTGTCATGATGCCATGAACACATGATGAAATAACAGGGCTTTTCCAAAGCAAAATAAAAGTAAACTCAGCTCTGATTATCAGACAAATCAGTACTACTAACTTCAGCATGAAAGCAGAACAAAAGTTGTATAGAAAAATTCACTTCATTTACAGAAGATCATTTTGATAACTTTACAGAACCTGAATTCTCCTTGTCCCCTTTTCATTCAAGAAGAAACTCAATGTCACTTGATTGTTCAGATATCCTTGGGAAATTAAATCTCGAGAAAATTGAAGGAAGATTACTTTCTGTTTAAGAGGAAAGCACATTTTTTGAATTAGCCTTTTTATGTGGAGATAGTTCTAAGATGTATTTATACTTAACTTTGTCTTCTTTAAGAAAAACCCTAAATATAAATTGGCCTCTGGTCTAAGACTTGTGGTTATTAATGTCCTGGAAAGTATTATTCGGCCTGTTCAATATTACTTCTACTGTCATGATATCTGCCAGACTATCCAGCTCCCTTTTAAGCCTAATGGGCAAATTGTGTGGCATTGCTTCAGAAGTTCTGTGATGGCTCTTACTGTTCTGGAATGTGCTTGCATTCCATTCTATGTGGGGTTGTGTTCTTGATGGTTAAGACTATCAGACGAACTGCAGAGAAATACACAGAACAACAAATATATGTCTATTATAATATTATCTATATTATATAATACATATGACATGTTATATTTTTATATTATAAAGTATGAACTATGAGTGTATGTATATTTATATATACAAGCTTGATAGGGCAAACGAAAACTACAATGAGGTACTATTTCTTACCCACTAGGATGGCCATTAGGTGACAGCAAGAGGATAAGAAGTGTTGGCAAGGATATTGAAAATTTAGAGCCCACATATACTGCTGGTATCAACAACAACAAAAAAGTAGCTGTTTTGGCAATTTCTCAAAAATTTGACCCTACTATATTCCATTCTTAGGTTTGTACTTGAGAGAAATGAAAACATGACTCCTTGAAAAAACCTGTAAACAAATGTTGCTTTCGTCATTTTTCATGACAGCCATAGAGTGGAACTGATGACTGGACAAGTAAAATGTGGCTTATTATTCAACTCCAGAATAATGAAGTACTGATTCACGCTACCACATGGATGAGAGCAGCCTTGGTGGTGCCACATAGTGTTCAGCTACTAATTGAAAGGCTGGTGGCAATTTGAACCCATCAGCCACTGTGCGAGAGAAAAAGGTAGCGGTCAACTTCCATAAAAATGACAGTCTTGAAAACCCTACAGGGCAGTTCTACTCTGTCGCACAGGCAAAATTGACTCAATGGCAGTGTTTTGTTTTTTAAAAACATTATTAAAATAAGTCTGGTATAAAAGATCACATATAACTACATTTATATATGAAATGTCTAGAATAGGCAAATCCATAGAGACAGGAAGTACTTAAGTACAGGAAGTACTAAGTACTTAAGTACTTAGGGCTGGGGGAAAAGGTAGATTGGAGGTTTTCTTGTTGAGGTGATGATGTTCTAAAATTAATTGTGGTGATGACAAAACCCTGTGGCTTTATTAAAAACCACCGAATTGTACAATTTAAATGAGTGGGTAGACTGGACTCATTAGGAAATGAAAATATAGAGAAACTAAAGAGACATGAAAATCAGAAAAGAAAAAAAGGCTAATGGAATTGGCTGCCTATGTTTTTTAAGATTCATCTTAGACACAAACTCTAACTAGTATTACTAAGTTGAATTACAAGAGTAAATTAATTGTCATACTATACTTGACAGCATATAAGGAAAATACTCTGAAATTGCAGTAAAGGACAATGGTTATATTTATATTCTGGAGTCGGCAAATATATCTTAAGTGATATATTCAAACTCAATCCAATAACTGAAATATATAGACTGCTTGAACAAATTTAAAAGAAAAATAACCCAAAAGTGTGTACACACACACACACACACACACACACACAACATTGCTCAGAACATAAACAGTAAGGGTCTAGGGAAATATTTTTTACAGAGGCCTATCAAGTATAGAAACAGATAATAAATAATATATTATAATTCTGAGCTTTTATAAATGAAAATTGAAAACAGGAGTTGGCGTCTGGTCACACATTTTGTATAAGATTGGGAATGGGAAAATAATTTTCTTCTTCCTTTGGCCTGTAACCTCTTATGGGATGCTGGCCAATCACTCAAAGCACTTCTAACCAGCACATGTCTTAAAACTGGAGCTACTTTTGCAACTGGCTCAAAAGAAGATAGGTTTAACAACTAACAGGAACTGGGAAGAGGATGAAAAGTTCTCTTTTCTGGCTTGACAAGGTACAATAAACAAGGAGTGGTTCAATTTTCCCTTTACTTTTAAGAATATCACCTCCATTTGATTTATATTCCCTACCTTATGCTTGAGTAATAGAAATAGAATATGACTTTTAAGGATTTGTAGTTCCCTAATAAAAAACTGGTAATATTGAAGCTGTGAAGGATTTACTTTTACTTGAATCTACTATCATTTCCCATGGCAGTGGCAGTTAAGAAACCAAATATCCTATTGCATTGGACAAATCTTCTACCAAAGAACTCATTGAAGTATACAAAAGCAAAGATGTCATGTTGAAGACTAAGGTGTGCCTGAACCAAACCTTGGTATTTTCAATCACCTCATATGCATTTCAGAGCTGCACAATGAGTAAAGAAGACCAAAGAAGAATTGACACCTCTGAATGATGGTGTTAGTATAGAATCTTGAATAAACTATGGTCTTGCAGAAGAACAGACCAATCTGTCTTGGAAGGAGTATAGCCAGGATGTTTCTTAGAATTGAGTCTGGCAAGACTTCATCTCACACACTTTGGACATGTCATGAAGGACATCGTGCTTGGTAAAGTAGAAGGTCAGCAAAAGAAAAGAAGAGAGTCAAGGAGATATATTAGCACAGTGGCTGCAAGCATGCGCTCAAATATAACAACCATTTTGAAGATGGCCTAGGACTCTTCAATGTTTATTTCAGTTATACAGGCTCAAAATCCACAACACCGGACATGGTTCTCTAATTCCAAATCCCACATTTAGATCATAGTAGAGAAATATAGTAGAGATAATTTAGCTAGACAAACTTGACAGTACCTAACAACA